ATGGACCTCTCCTACATATAAATACGGTAAGTAGCTATATTAGTGTAGGTTTTGAGTAGTATTCGATTTACTCTAGTTGGTTTTCCGTTGTCTATTTAATAAACTTCTTCTTTTCCCTACCTAGTCTTCTGTTCTGACGATACTGTCTCTAACTACAGCCGTCCTAATTCTTGTCTATTTTGAATAAAGATAACATTACACCATAATTTATTTTTCTCTTTTCTTTCCGTTTTTCTTTTCCCTTTTTTATGCTATAATATCCTTACACTTTCGTTCTATTCTTCCCTTTTTTATTTTCTCCCCTTAATGGCTGCAGGATAATCTGGAGTTTGGTTAATTATAGAATTATTTATCACCTTCAAACAAACAGTGGCATCCATCGTTCCCATAAATATCCCTTCTTTAGATTTCCTGTTTGCATCTAAACTTTCCTTTAAGTTGATATCAGAGCAGCTAGCCAAGTCATCATCGAAATAGTCTCAAAGGTGTCATTCTTGACATTAATGTCAGACCTGTTCTCATGTTTAAAATGCCGACCTACATAGAAGGAAAATTATCGAAGTAATCAGTATTAAGAAATCAGTCCCGTCATGTAAGACTAAAAACCTTCAATCTTCGGAACACTAATGACGCGTTATTGACAAGCAAGCAAGTGATAAAGAATATTTAAAATCAAAACGTATTTTATTGAGTTGCACAGAAAGAGAAATGACAATAAAAGCAATTAGAATATTCATCAGAAAAATTATAAAAAAAAAATTGAACAGCATGAAGATAAAGAAAAAATTGGAAATCACGAAGGAGATGAAGAAAAAATCTCTACTCTTGAAAATCTTCGAAAGTCTTGTGTGATTTCAAGAGGTTAAAAATGAAAAGTCTTCTTCATTTTGTTTGATTATTGAATTTGTCTTCTTTTTTAGGCTTTTGTGGAAAGAAAATCTATTTTCTTTGCTTCTTCGTCGAAAGAGAAAACAAGAAACAATGAAAATTGAGGCCATAGTCTAAATGAAAGACGAATAATAGAAATATAACGGAAAACAAGTCAGAATAAAATGGCGGAACTGTAAAAGAAATCCAAACAAAAGAAGCAACCAAATTTATATGCTCATTGTAAAAATTAAATTGTGAATGATATAAAAAATAATAATTTAAGTTAACGATACTAATAGGAATAATACATTGTTAGTATAAGTTGGTAGTACAACAGATATTGGTACAGGAAATATACCATTCGTCTGTTTATTGAATACTGTTGCCATATCCTGTTGTATATCTCAAGGTTCTTGACAAAATTCAAAAAAGGGCTTGTAATTTAATCGATCCTGACTAGGCATCTCGACTTCAGTCATTTTATCACCAATGTGACGTTACTTCCCTTTGTTTTTTTCTACAAATATTTTCATGGCAATTGCTCTGACGATCTTTTTCTCCTGGTGCCCTGACGAATTGAATTTAAGCGTACCACTAGATTTTCATTTAGGTCCCACTGTTGAAATAGCTAAATACAACCGACACTTCCACTCCAATAGTTTCTTTCGTGCAGTTCCTACCTGTAGAACTGCATTTCTTTGCTTCCCTGATAACTATAATCTTCAAAAATTTAGATGCAATGTCAATCACCATCTTCCATCTTCGTGAATCCTGTTCGTTTTTTTTTCTCCTTTCCTCAATCCTCTCTATTCCCAGTCTTCTTTTTCTTTTTCACTCCCTGTAGACCACCCCTCGTACATGTTAGTAGCATTACTGCATTACTTGAGGGGAAATGATTTTAAAAAAAAATAAAAATCGAATCGACGAGCCGAATTTGAAATCAGATCTCGTCTGTTCCCTTGCTTTTCCATTTGATGCCCTTACGAAATGAATGGATACGCTTATTCTGCTCTATGCTTGGGTTAAAACCAATAAAATGACGGCGACACTTAATTCCATTCGTGGGAAAGGAAAAGTGAAACCACACCACTAACTTTCCCCCAAAAAATATGCCAATTCATTGATAATAAAGAAAAAGAAGTTGTGAAGAGTCATGTACACCAGTTCCTGGATGGACTTAACATTTTTAGTCATCGTGTTATTAATAGGTAAGTGATAATTATTGTTTCTGTTTCAAGTCTGCAACGACGAAAAGATGTCGCAATTTGGCCTAGAAGTATAAAAGTAAACTTGAATGGGTCGGAACGGTCTTCATCTAGGAAGTGTGCAAACTCATATGATTTTGCCATATTAATATTGATTTTTGACGATTTTCTAGGATACGTAACTCAAAACAGCTAACTAATCCACGTCAGAATGCAAGATTTCATAAAAGAGAAAGGAAATTTGTTAAAGAAATCTTAGTTCCAATATCCAGCGGATTAAAACTGAAAAATGTGAAAAAACATGTTAATATCAAAAGTGTTTCCTTATAAAGAAACATCCGGTATGCCTTGACCGAGCACCCAGTGTCCTACTTTCACTTGAAATTTATAACATCTTTCTATCAAAACATTTTTTTCCTCTGGGTAATTTCCGGGCCAATCTATAGTACTTTGTTTAATCATTGTTAACACTTGCCATTGTGTTCGTGTAGTGTTACAATTTTCGTACGCTTAGTTGGAGTAACGTCCGTCGCAGAAAATGTCCGTAGGACAACTAATCGACAGTCGAAACACTATTGTCTGGGGTGGGGTGATAAAAATTTGATTCAGTCACGGATGAATCAATATTTTTAAGGCCAAACAAATTTCATCATACACCCCGAAAATAAATTCATATTACTACAGATCACTGCAAAAAACCTAATTTGAGAAAAAAATAGCAAAATAAATACATCCAGTGGGTTTAAACTGACCGTATGGTGAAAGAAAAGAAAGTAAATCAGTTGTTTCAATTAATTTGCAAAGGGTGTAGCTATTTGCTTATAAGGAATCATTCGTTGTACAGTAACCGATCAGCCATTGCTACCATCGGTTTAAATTATAAATCTTTTCTCATAAAACATTTTTCCAGAAAAATAGGTTTCTCATGTCTCAAGTAACTGTTATCGCTCTTTCCCGTATTGATGGTGGTCTTCTTCCTAACCTTTTTCTTAAATTGTGTGGAATGCCAACATTTTGATTATTCGGACATCATCATTACATGTTCCAGTTACAATTGCTATCCATTTTAGTCAACGATGTTGTTAAAAGTCATCAAGTTATGTGATTTCTGCTATTTAGTTTGTTTCGTATTTTGTTTTTTTTGTTTTTGTTTTTTTACTGGTCTTTGTTCATGATTCTGCAGTGCCAGTCGACGAGATTCAAAGAATATTTTTTTTACTGGACTTTGTTTATGATTCTTGAAGTAGTGGGAAATGTCAATATCTTATGTCAGTCTTTTCTCATCGACTTAAACCTGCTATACATTTTTGTTGTTGTTGAAAGTCTTCAAGAAATTTAGTTTAGCTATTTGACAGAGTTCTTTGTGATTCTGTAGCGCCAATACACAAACTTCGATTCAATCCATTTCTTAACCATTGATATGAGAAATCGGTGGTATATAGCTGATAGTTTCGATATATGTTAACAAGATTAGTGCTATTCTCGACTTCCATATAAAAGTCTTGATATGACGATTCTATTTAAGAATATGACTCGAGGTTTTAGGTTAATGTTTTGTTTTGCAAAATGTTGCTGTTGGGATAAACAACCTTCTAGCACGGGTTATTCTATAATCAATTTCCTTATCTTCTATACTAAGTTTGTCTTAACTGATGCAGTCAGGTATTTGAAATGTGTAAGAGAGTATAGAGATTGGGGGCTAAGCTACTGAGAACACGTGCCTCTACGAAAATTCTATTGAAAGCGACCTGTAACTTTTGGAGTAACGTAACAATGAATAGCAAATAACAGTAAAGAATACTAAGGACATTTTGCTGTCACATGATCTCTAAAGAAACCAACCAGTTACAACTAGTATAAAAACCTAGCCAGGGCAAAATAATACTAATGTTAACCCTTTCAGCCCTGCGTTCCTGAACAGTTTTAACCCTTCTGCCTGTGCAGTGAGGAGGCATGGTGGAGTAATGGATTGAGCAATCGGAGAGCCGAGTTCGAATTCCAGTCGAATCCATTATATTCACTTACGTGCTAATACTGTTGGGAAAGGTGTGAATCCTCTTCTTCACCCTCCAGCTATGGGTAAATAGCAGGAAAGACTGGGTTCTACAGCCTTGGATGGCAACTGGTCTAGGAGAATGTTGCGGCCGCTAATAATGTATCCTGGCTGAATTCCTAATTCTCTCAGAATCGTCTTACTGTATAGGTTGAATAATCCGGTGAGAAGACACATCCTTGCCTTACAACATTTTCTATTTTTGTATATTTACTGAATTCATTTTCTATCCGTATGCAGGTTGATTCCTACCAGTATAGGTTCTAGATTATTCCAATATCCTCCCCAAATATGCCAAGGTTACATAGCAATTCCAACATTTAGGGGTTTAAAAAATCCATGAGAAGAAGGTGTAAATGAGAAACACCTGTCAATGATATCGAAGAAAATGCGTACGTCATGATACCACAAAACTTGAATATTAGAATTTGTATGGTGGTTAAAAATATCAAATCATATTGAGGATTAAAGAAGAAGAAGCCAGGAAGTTTTCGGTAAAGCCATATTTTCGTATTTTTCTGGTAAATACGCTGTATTGATTATATTTGATAAAGAATAAACACTATTCATATGATATTTATGGAATGGAAGATTTGGAAATGGAAAATATAAATTTAGTAATGGTGTAACTTTAATTGATGGTTAGTGTTCTAAGGTTAAGAGAGAACATGGATTTTTCGATAGTAAGAATTATTTTTTTGGTGATAATAATGGTTTAGTGATGAAAATCTTAGTAATTAACTTATCAGTGTATGATTCGTAGGTGGATTCATAGCTTTCCCAAGAGAATTTGTGTGTAACAAGAATTGGAACTCGGCTCTCCGGTAAACAATCTCAAGCCATTATCCATTACACCACCCACACATCCAAGCTCACAGCACCTGCTATTTACAAGCGGTCACCCATCTAAATACTGACCAGCCTCGGCGTTGCTGAACTTTGCTGATCGTACGGGGACCGGTATTTCAACGCAATATAGCCGTAAGCCCATCTGCTTACCGATTAGACCGAAAATGGAAAAGTTTCCAGGCTTGATCGTATCCAAAAGCGTCTCCGCCTCCTTGTGGGTGACAAATTATTTTGCTCCTGCAATATCTTTCTCACAGATGAAACGTTGCAAGCCTATCGCTGCTCTATCAATATTTACATGGAAGGTGTTCAGACTAATTATATTCCTAAGTCCCAGAAGTTGGAATCGTCATGGCTAAGACCCGCTATGCCATGCACATTGTAACGAACCATCTTCATTCCTTTTTTATTCTATTGATGAGATGTAAGTTCTATTCCAGGACCTTCTTCCTATGAACCATTGCTTTGTAGAGCTGATTCCCAAGAGATTAGTTCCCTAATCAATAGAATTTTAACCTGTTCGAGTCTAGGGTCAACTATTATTTTTTTGTCCAAATATCCCTATAAACTGTGACTTTTACACTGCAACCCTCTACCACGAGTGGCTCTTGTGCCATCTACAGGGTGAATATAAAAGTAAAAAAATAATATGCTTTTTAGTTGTTTTTTTGTTTTGAAAATTCTCAAGGGCCGTAGTTTCATTAAATTGGCACAGTACATTGTTTGCGATTGTGTAGCGCCAGTCTATGCATTTGAAGAATCATGGCCATTTCTAAGATATCATTTCTCACGAAACCGTTTTACCTATTGATCTGAGAAATCGGGTGTACACAGCTGAATATGTAAGATATGTCTGGACGAGTTTTGCGTGACATCCATATGAAAGTCTTGATTTGACGAAACTCTGAACATTGCCTCATTCATTCGATTGAAAAGAACTTGTTTGTATCCGGTTTGCCTATGAACATTGTTTCTAGTTTGTGAATGTTGTACTTACTATATGCTGTAGCAGCAATACATTTTTGAAATTTCTATGGAGAAGTGAGTTTGATCATCACTGGGTGCTCAACGCTTTCGGCCTTGTTCCACATCTAAGCTTAGCTTACTAAATCACTACTGAATTGTGATTTGATCAAACAGTTATGTCAAATTAAGAGTATAAATAAAAATAACCTCATTTAAAACGAGTAAGTTTATTTAATTTATTGTTGTCATTGTCTTCGGGCAAATAGTTTATCTAACAAACCAGCAAAAATGAATGCAATAGTCCAATATTTTCTGACTTAAGGCTGGGAAAATCCTTAATCACTAAGAGCGTTGTGCTTCAAAAACGTTTAAAAACGACTGACATATTTGAAGGTATTGGGTTAAGAAATATATTATAGGCGACATTAATAGTATCTCGTCCTGGGTAAGACGATAAACTACATCCGCGTCCTGGGTAAGACGATAAACTACATCCGCGTCTTGGGTATAACGATAAAATACATCCGCATACTGGGTAAGACGATAAACTACATCTGCTTCCCGGATAAGACGATAAACTACGCCCGTGTCCTGGATAAGACGATAAACTACGTCCGCGTCCTGAGTAAGACGATAAACCACATCCGCCACTTGGGTAAGACGATAAACTACATCCAACAGCAAGGCCTTTTGAAAAAAAACATATATATATAGTAGCAGCAATACATTTTTGCAAAAAGAAATTACCAGCAATAAAAATCTTGTCGGCTATTGATGTGTTGATATGCCGTAAAACAAATCAAACTAAACCCTGCCGTCCTGGGTATGACGATAGACTACATCCACGTCCTGGGTAAGACGATAGACTACATCCACGTCCTGGGTAAGATGATAGACTACGTCCAACAGCAAGGCCTCTGAGCAGGAGGTTTTGAGGAGCGTGGAACCAATTCTTAATTTCTGGTTTTTTCCAGGTGCAACCTGACCCGGGGTGGTAGCATCTGTTAGGATCCTAACTATGGGTATATAGCTAGCCCCAAACTGGGGTCAAAACACTATGAAAGTGTAAAAATAGGTTTTAATACCAGAAATACTTTGTAAAATAATTATTAGCAGCAATAAATTTTTTAACAAAAAATACCAGCGATACATATTTAAAGGAAAATTACCAGAAATAGATTTTTGAAAAAAAAATATTACCAGAAATAGATTTTTGAAATAAAATATTACAACAATAAAAATTTTGTCGGCAAAATTTTTTGTTAGATAGATAGATAGATAGATAGATAGATAGATAGATAGATAGATAGATAAAAAATATTAGCAGTAATCTTGTCGGCATTAAATAATCTATCGAGGTGTTGATAAGCCGTAAAACAAACCAAACCAAACTAAGCCATGTAATTACTATTCTTTTATATTTACCTTGCCTTATATTACATTTGTTCATTTTTTGTATTATTTTATCCCCTTATTCTAATTATTTCTATTGTTGTTATTGAGAATTTTGTGATTTCGACTTTAAAATATCCGTTTATTCAACTGACGAGGCAATTTAAGAACATGAGCTGAGTTCTTAGGTTCATATTTTAGTTTTTTTTTTTTTTTTTTTTTTTGTTTTTTGGGGGGTGGGGGTGGGGGATATTGTGCTGTTTGATAAAACTAACTATAACGCAACCGACTGGGTGTAACAGTAAAATTGTCCAATTGTTAGATTAAGATTTGCACCGTTGTATCTTAAAAATGATTAAAGATATCTTACTGGAATTCTGCGAGGTTCTCATAACAAAATTAGCCCCTACTTTGAACGATAAAACTGTATTCAGCTCTAAGTTGAAATGATGATCCTTGTTTCTGCTGTGACTTCCTGATCTAGTTTTCCTCTTTACTGTTGCTTCTTTTTTAAACTTATTTGCCGTTCTCTTCATGGTTCTTGAATGGACTTTGGAGACAGAAGCTAGAGTATGAATGTTGGTATCATTACTGAATGACTGAATGATCTTTTTTCCTCTCACCATTGCTCAATTGCGAAGACATAGTGGGACTGACACAAAACGATTGTATCCTGTACTCTTTCGAGCTGAATAACGGAAAGGGTTTTTCAGTGATCCTTACGACAAATGTGTCAAGATGAGTAAACGTCTTATCTGAAAACATTTTCTTTAATCACTTCACCGCAAGCAAGGCTATAAAGCCACTAGAATGTTAGAGAATATGAGAGAAAAAAAAAACATATAAGGGGAGAAGACAATAAAAGATTAAGAATTTACAAACTAGAAGATAACGATTGACACTGCATATAAATTTATCAAGATCAAAGTTGACCGGAATCAAGAAACCAGAAGAGAGTTCTACAGTAGATAAGTGCGATAGAAGAAACACTTAGTATAGAACTTACGGTTACGTCTAGCTATTACAACTCTATCATAAAGACACGCTGAAGCTATATTATGGCGTTTGGAAAGAGAATGAATCCGAGACGTCAGGTCATGACCAATAACATTGCAGATTTTTCTTTTGAATTTATCAAGAAATACATAGGATAATCAAACTAGATGTGTCAGAAATATTCAAAGCAAGGACAAAAATTAGACTTATAAATACGTAAGATACATTCTGGCGAGAATAATAGCCTTGCACAGCATAGTAAACCAAGATTCTTAGCTTCAGACTCAACAATGGATTCAATATACTATTTCCATTTCATGTTGGTTGAAATCTTAGTCCGAGAAGGCGAAAACATGGCTGTTAGCATTAGTAAGGTAAAAAGTGATAAGATAATTAAAAAGGAACAATTTCCTTTTTGAGGCGTCAAAATTAACCAACCACTCCTTGCTGATGAAAGCTAAAAAGTGTTCTCTAAGATAATTAAAAAAGAGCAATTTCCTTTTTGAGGCGTTAAAATTAACCAACCAATCCTTGCTGATGAAAGGTAAAAAGTGTTCTCTAAGATAATTAAAAAAGAGCAATTTCCTTTTTGAGGCGTTAAAATTAACCAACCACTCCTTGCCGATGAAAGGTAAAAAGTGTTCCCTAGGATAACTAAAACAGAGCAATTTCCTTTTTTGAGGCGTTAAAATTAACCAACCTCTCCTTGCTAATGTTTCATTTTTGAGGGGTTAAAATTAATCAACCACTCCTTGCTGGTGGAAACTAAAAAGTGTCCTTTAAGATAATTAAAACAGAGCAATTTCCTTTTAGGGGGGCGTTAAAATTAACCAATCACTCCAAGCTGATGGAAGGTAAAACTGTTCCCTAAGATAACTTATATAGAGCTGTTTCATTTTTGAGGGGTTAAATTTAACCAACCACTCCTTGCTGATGGAAGGTAAAAAGTGTCCTCTAAGATAACTGAAATAAAGCCAATTCCTTTTTGAGGCGTTAAAATTAACTAACCAGGCCTTGCTGATTGAAGGTAAAAGGTGTTCTCTAAGATAATTAAAACAAAGCAGTTTCATTTTTGAGGCGTTAAAATTAACCAACCACTCCTTGCTGGTGGAAGGTAAAAAGGATTCTCTCAGATGACTAATTTAGAGCTGTTTCATTTTTGAGGCGTTAAAATTAACAAACGACACGCTGCTGCATTTAACACCAGATTGTATGTCATTTTGGGGATCCGCTGCCAAATTGACCTTATCGAAACAGACTTAGTATTAAGATAGAAGTAAATAGCTGTATTAACAGCATTTATGAAAATTATAAACAATGTAAGTCTAAGTATAGAGACTTAGAGAACACCTGCATTTATTTAAAAAAAATCTAGAAGTGTGGCTATTGAATTAAACTACGACTTGTAAATAAAGGATGCTTTTTTTTATATTCATAGGCAAAATGGGGAGAGAAACGGTATCGAAATGACGTTCAAACTTTTATATTTCTTTAAAATTTTAACTGAGGAGAAAGAGATCCTTTAGGCGGTTGATGCCGTCTAATCTGCATTTCTAGGATGAGGAGTTTGCAATCTTTACATTTTTATATGTTTTCTATTATCATCTCTGAACTCTTCATTTAATCCATGGGGATATATTCTTTCCTTCGGCTGAACATGCCTAGGGATATCACCTTTAGTTCTGCTTATCTATTTTTCGTCCTGTTTCCGCTGATTCGAAATACACCTGCCCGGTCCAGAGACTGAACTTGTAACCACTCTATCTCCAAATTCAGAAGTTA